GGCGGCAGGGCCGGTTGGGTCCCGCGCTCACACGGTTCCCACCAGCAACACGGTCCGTCACCAACGCGGCCCCCGTAGCCTCTGCTGGCAGAGCCCCTGATAGCACAGCTCCCCCTTTCCTGGGCATCACATGCTTGGAATCACACACTGAACTTCTGTGGCTTTGCAGGAATTAACTGTTTTATAAGATCCTAGAAAGGAAAACAAACATGCATCAGAATGGATTGCTTAAAGCTTTGTAACATTTGCACCTTCCTCTTGTCATATATATTATCTATCTATTCAAGTAGTTATGTTGCTTCAAAAGTTTTCATTGTGTTACAAAATTAGCAGAGTAGTGCTAATTGGTGCAGAATTAGCAAGGTTGCTAAAAGAACTAATCTAAAACTGTCTGAGCAAGTCTCAAAGGGGGGTTGTTGCAAGGGGCCTCAGACAAGAATGCACCAAAAGACACAAATTCTCACACCTGTGACCAGCTCATCCTGGAGCAGTGCAGAGGAGCCAGCAGAAGTCAACCAAGACCAAGATAAAGAACTTGATAATCTGCAAATGAAGTAATGAACTGGGCCAAGAACATACATGGAAGGCAGACTGAAACAAAGTTCATGGAAAGAACACTTGTGGACATTTTTTCAGCAAGCACAAGGGACCACCAGAGACCATTCAAACCCCCATGGAAGACCCTCAAGAAGCCACTGACTCATAAGCAACTAATTAGCATAAGAAGCAAAAGAATCACTAACTAATAGAGGATAGATTACTAATTAATAAGTTAGGTAACTTGTGACCAATGAGCACTCATTCTTTGTTTTCTGAATTATATAAATAGAAAAAAGTTTGGATAGTTGGGATGTAGCTTGGCAAAGCATCCCACATGCATCTGGTGCTGGAATAAAATAATGCCTGTCCTTAATACTACACTAGTGTTAAGGGGTTTTATTCCCGATTTTGGTGACAACCCCACACCACCCAGGCAGTGCCTGACCACTGGGGCAGAGGGGCTTCAGCCTGCCATGATTTACCTGCACCTCCTGCCACACTCACAGAATCACAGAATCTTCTGAGTTGGAAGGGACCCATGAGGATCATTGAGTCCAACACTTGGCCCTGCATGGGACACTCCCAAGAATCACACCGTGTGCCAAATACCACAAGCCAGTGCAAAGAAAGGGAAGACCAAAAATCAATGAGCTGTTTTGCAGGGCTGTTTTCTTAGGGAGGAGCAACATAGCATCCACAGTATCAGGGAGCAGAGACCACAGAGCCCAACAAACGGTTGAGCACCAGGCACCAGCCATCAATAGAGTCACACATCACGCGGGCAATACAGCCACACGCCGGAGATGTTCTTCACAGTAGATTCATGAAACACCCTTCATCTTTATTTGTGTGGAGCACTAGCCCTCACAGAAAGGCTGCAAATGGCTCTGCTTTCACACCCTGGCAATAAGCAGCTTTGGTGGTGCCAACTCAATGGCCCCTGAAAACCTCCCATGCCCAGCGTGGCTGAGGCAAAGACGTGTTGCTGTGCAGTTTGTGCTGTGCCTGTGTTTGGGCCAGGCTGGGCTGGGAGTTTGAAGTTTCACTCCTGCCAAGTGTACAGACTGAGACTGAGATACTTTAGTATGTGAAAGACACTGAAACCATGACTAAGATGGGCAAATGTCATCACGGAGAGGGTAGTTAGAGATTGGAAGGGGCTGCACAGGGAGGTGATGCCATCACCATCCCTGGAGGTGTTCAAGAAACAACTGGATGTGGCACTTAGTGCCATGGTTTAGTTGACAAGGTGGTGTTTGGTCAGAGGTTGGACTTGATCTCAGAGGTCTTTTCCAACATGGATGATTCTGTGAAAAGAAGATGTGTCTATCCGCAGTGCAGCTGCTTTTCAGAAGTGCCAACTAAACCACAGCACTGAGACCATTTCCTTTCTACAACAGCAAGTCCAGGTGCTGCTGGCACAGGCACCCTGGCTAGAGGGGACTGGATCTGGCTGCCAACAGCCCAGGGTTGGAATTAAGTCTCAGGTGGCTCCTGCTGCCCTAAACATGAGAAGATCTGTGATAAAGCCATCAGGGAGAGTCCCAGTGCTGGCTGCGCTGGGGCTCAGGGCTGGCTGTGGATCTGCCTTCGTGGTTATGGACTGAGACATCTCCTGTGGTGAAGTGTCAAAGGAAAAAGTGGAACCAAAGCATCCCCCTGCTCTGTGGCATGTTGAGCTGCAGATGTCCCCCTGGGCCAAGGTGTGCCAGCAGCTCCACCTGTGGGGCTGAGCCTTGCCAGCTCTGGGCCCTGCTGTGGACAGAGTCCGTGTCCCTGGCCCTGCAGCTGGGGCCCTTGGCTTTCTCCTCTCTCCACAGGCACTCCTTCAGCCCCAGAAGACCCATAGCCACACTTCATGTCCACAGAGCTCAGGCACCTGTCTCAGAAGGTCTCACTGGCAGACCCACAGAGTAGCAGAGCACAGCACTCCATTCCACTCCCATGCCCTCCCAATCTGACCCAGCTGCCCTCCAGCAATGGCAGAACCTGCCCAATCCCCTCCTGCTGGCCCAGGCCTCCATTAAGTTTTTGAAAGACTAGAATTTTGAAAGTAGCACTGTTTGGCAACTTCTTCAGAGAAGTCACACAAAACACTTCTGATCAGTAAAAAATAAGTAAGATTTATTGTCTTGCTTTCACTTACATCCTTATGCTTCTTGTAGCATTCCTGAAAACATTTTAAAAGTAACATAATATTATGAGAAGTTTCTGAATTGATCTGTTTGTCTCAAACACTTTTTCTACACACAGTTATGTAACTGGTCCTGTATAACACAGATTTAGTAATTCACCTGGCATCACAACATGCTGTTACACACACACCCTAAAAAAATTTAGTTCTCTGGTAATTACTAAGTTTCAAGCCCTTCTAGAGGTCCTGAATTAAATTTTCAGCCAGTTACCAAGTACCAGATATTGAATACTCACGTCAAGCAATACTCTACGTCTGTTTTCCCAATCTTCTCTTTCTTCACTGAAGTGTACTGATCTACAAAACAACTTAGGGCCCTCTGCAGAAAACAAAGAACAAATTCATATGGTTAAACACTTCTCAATAAGCTTCTGTTTGTAAAACTCATGAGCAACACAGCAATAAAGTCAGAAAGGTCTAGTATTCAATTCTTTGTATCCTTTCTATTGCCTTGCTCCCCACAGCACAGCTGGTTCCAACAGAGATGTTCTGTAGTACAGCCTTGCAGTTTTCCCCAACAAGCTGAAATACAAATTGCAGTGAAATTGTACCTGTTCCATTAAAAGCTCAGCATCATTATCCCACATCTCCCAAGAAAATTTATGCCTGCTCAGGATTCACATCTCCCTTTTAACAGGCCCTGGAAATCAGATAGGCTGGAAAATTACAGTGCATTAACTGTGTTAACACAGCCACACATTTAAGGATAGTTACCTAACACGTGCCAAGAAACAAACATTATTTAAGGCTGTCCTGATAATTTATTGTATAAAATATCAAAACCAATTGTTTTGGTGCCCTGTGCACTTTTGGAGGGTGTTTCATTTTGCTGTCGTTTTATATGTTTTTAACTATGAGATCACTATATTCAGAAGAAAAAACCCACATTAAGTAAGATCAAGAACCACATGGGCATATGTTCAACCAGAGAGACAGGATAAAGTTCAAAATGATATGTATGCCTGAAAGGATCCAAGATATTGAGATAACTTGAGTGGGGTTTTTTGGTAAGCCCTAAAAGACCAGCTAAAAGACATATCAGGCCATTACCTGAAAAAGCAAAGACAGCTGTCCAGCATTTATGTTACCAGGGCTTTCCTGTGGGAGATGCCACCACAATTTAGACCACAAGTAATGATAGAAATTGGCAAATGCTTTCTCTTTTTTTCCCTTCAACCTCTCATCAATGTTTTGACTACAAAACATTAAATAACTAGGCAGCATTTTTTCCTCACTGAATTTCAGTATGAGTTTAAAAAGGGCTAAGGTCTGTTATACCTCTTAGTCGCTCATCATCTTTGGAGAAGAAGAAAAATCTAGCATTTTCTGTCTGTGGTAAAGGAAGAAACCTAGACAAACACAAAGGGATTTTAGAATCATAAAAGTTACTGCCAAATCCCATTAACCCAAATTAAAGCTGCAATGCTTCAGAGAAATAGTCTGCACTGAAGAGCATTAGTCCTCAGCACCCTAATATAGCCTTCTACAAACAAATCCACTTCTTTAA